AATTCATTTGTTTCAAGTTAAAAAATCTCTCACAAATATAACTATTTATTAAATACTTATAACTTAATATTTTTAAACCAGACTGTGTAATGTGCTTGTGTCATTGGAATTCTTATAATAATAAAAACACTAAGATATTTGAAAAGTATATTAAGGTGTGCGGACAAGTTTAAATGTCACTTCTCTGCCTTTGAAATATTTTGTGAGAATGTAAATATTATGTTTATATATCGATGTTATGTAAGGCGCTTCGTTAATATTTTACGTAGCAATGAAAATATAGGAAACAATTCTATGCAATTTGTATATTTTATACAAAGTAAACAATTCTATAATGTTATATAAATACATAATAGTTGCTACTGATATAAATCAATATTCTCAATTATTAATGAAGCTTCGCTGTTTAATAGTCTCATTATTCGAGACCCAATTATTGGACCTACAAATCAATATCCATTGTCATTAATGTAATATTAATTATCATTTAGCAGAAAGAATGATGAATTATCCACAGAATTAACAATTAAATAAGAATTTTATCAAATAATTATATATCAACTAATTTGAGTTCCATTGTATTCTGTTAGAATAGATATGCAAAAAGTGCACTTACCTGATTGTAAAAATAGATTATCTAAATAAAAGAAGATTTTTAAAATTAAATCTTAATTTAAATATTAATTTATTATATAATTTTAAATTAATATTTAATTTTAAAAAGTTATTTAAATTGAATAATGTGTGTGTGTATGATTAAAAAATTAATTTAAATTACTTTAAGAATTTTAAACTTCTTTTTCTTTCCTTAAATTAAAAAATCTTAAAAAAATAATGATATTAATATCCTGCATAAAAAAAAATTAAGATTAAAATGGCATCGGTGCAATATAACTTTTTTTTTAAGTAAGATGTCCTAAAATGCATTGATGTTCTAAAATGCACTTTCCACGAAAGTTTCGCGATTCTATGATGACGTAGGAATATTTCTTTTAGCAAAGGTGTTAAAACAACTGAGAAAAACGAGTTTGTTATTTTGTTTTTCGCGTTTTCACAAGACATCGCGACAAGAAAATGTGTCAGAGTTATGGAAATGTTGATATTTTTATTCAGGAGAGAAGGGAAATATGACGATCCCGCAATATTCAGTGTTTCGTCCATTTCTTTACACGTTGATGAACATTATGAGTTTACCGACATAGAGGCTTCTTCCTGCTAATATCGAATACCTACATCGACCATCATTACTCAAGCCTGGGCCTTTGTATAAAAGAACGATGATTAAAGAATTGTGTACCAGCCATCTGCTGCTCACGTACAATTTTGTCGAAGCTGCTTGTATATATGGAACAATCGGAATTATCAAATTTTATTTAAGTGCGACAACAAATGTAAAACGTGAGAACGTCGACTTCAGATATAAACAGATAATGCGTTCTTTGCGAGAGCTTTCTCGAGTGACTTTTCGCGACGTCCAGTTGAATTCCATGGGGAGATTCTGCTCACTAGACTTTACTTAATACTCGCCAACATCCGTAAGAGAAATGATCAACAATATCATAGATAAGCCCATATGAATAAAGTGACACGACCACAGAAATTGAAAATGCGGGGAATGTCGCGGATATGTTTCGTCTGTCTGACCAGATTTCTCGGTCGCAAGATGTTTAACTGAGATATTTCGAGATAAAGAAGAAGAATCGCTGCGGTCTGCATTTTCTCACGGAGAAGATCCCCGGCGTCTAGGCGCGCATCCTTCACGTATTTCATGGACCCCGGGGGCGTTTGCAGAATTCTTGTTTGCGACGGGGGAGGAAATCGGGGGAAGAAGGAAAGAGGATGTAGAGATGGAGGAGTGAGAATTCGCACAAGAGAGGAGTCGTCGAAGACTCGTCGACTTCTTCTTCGCTTCTTCGCGCGCAAAAGTTCGAAATACAGCCCCGAGGTGGCGAGTAACAGCAACGGCGGAGATGATTGATCGCAAAGAGCGCGCGATGCTCTTCGAACGCCACAATAGGAACCAGAAATATGAGACCGGAATAAAATTCATAGCCGTTGCCAGGGGAGACGTTAGGCCGCGATTGAGATGCAAATAAGAGCGAGACACCCGGTAGGCGACTTCGTGGCATCTGCGTAACTCATTCGTACCGACGACAGAAGCGTTTGTGGAAGAGAATTTTTTATGAGCTCAGGAAGCCGCTATCTGTGCTTCGAAGTTTTCAGTGTCTTCAAAGAAATTTTTTCGACGAGTAGAACGCTCGACAAGGATCTTCATTCGTATCACTAATCAACTGTTTATTTAAAAGCCGCGTAAAGAATATTTTAGGAAAGTAGGCTACGCGAAATGTATAGAGATCGATATCTATTTTAACCTTCAGCTGACATGCGACGATTTTGATTCTCTTCCTATTCTTTTTTTAATTTTAATTTACCGTACAATTATTTTTATTCCACATTCAGAAAAAAGGTACGATGGCACACTTTAGTGCCAACTATGTAAGTTTTATGTGTAAAATTTATGTACATAAATGAATAAACTAAGATAGAGCAGGGCTAATTGAGCTAAGGAGCAAGTTGGGAAATGCAAATGTCTAAATAATTAAAATATATATA